ATTCAATAATAAAAAGAGATAATCCATGCCACAACGCACATGGATTTAACTAATCTTAATTTGGAAGGAAAATAACAACTCCAAATAGATCAAATGCAAGTTTCTCAAGACAACCTGTGAGTGGGGTTTATCTCCAGTTTCCAGCACAAGCAAGTTATTTAGTTTCTTCCACTGGCCAAGCTAATAATTTTTCGCATTTATTTTATTTATTTTTTTTAAAGTCTGAAGCAAATATTCCCAGAGCAGCATATAAATCCTGAGACTCATCAGAAGCCCTTCTCTCCAATACGTCTTGGTCACTGGGCCCCAAACTGAAGTCCCTTCTGTACCTTGCCTGTTGTAACAACCCCCCAAGCTCCTCCCTGGCCACTCCCAGGTTCCAGAAGAAGACAGACAAAGCTGGCAAGAACATCCCAGCAGGGAGTGCCGGCCACCTCCCAGCCCAGGGGGATCTGCTACCTTCTGTCACTTGCTGCCTATCTTTGCACTTCTCCAGAAACTTACGTTCTGGGTTTGTGGGGACAGGGGGGAAAGCAAACTGATGAGTGATGGCCAGTACCCTCCCCGCTGCAGCTTCTTTGGGCTAAGGAAGGGGTGATACCTTGGAAACCTGAATGACCAGGGACCAGGCCCCTCGCTCCAGTGCTATTAATGGTGATGCTAAGGAAGTGTCTGGAAGAAACCGCTTAGAAATCCCAGGTCGGTACGCAAACGTTTTGACTGAGAAAAGCAAGCCCCCCTGAATGCTGCCAAGCGGGGTCCACACTTTCCTCAGCTCGGCTTTCTAGAAGTGTCTTGGTAGCTGCCTCTGGCTCCCCTGCAGGCTGGTGGGGTGTTTCCCGGCACCATCTCATCTCGCCCTCGGTTTACCATTGCAAAGTAGGTGTGGAGACAGGCCCGATAAGTGAGGCATCTCACCTGGACGGCCAGCAGGTAAGGACACTAGGGCTCAACCCAGAAGACGCCCAGGCCCCAGCCCCTCCCCAGGGTGAGTCCAGCATAGAGCTGTCACTGTGTGACATAACGTGACAAAAGACAGAGGGCAGACATGAACCGCAGTCAGTTCACTCTGACAGCGTTTGTGATAGTGAAATCCTCAGACCCAAAGGACATTTTCCCCAACTCTCAACGGGGAGCCCCATTCCAAAGAGACCTCCGCAGGTTACTCCAACACCCCAAAGTATGTCAGAGTTGGGAACAACAAAGCACCAAGAAGCAGCTCATGTGTGCACATGGCTACGTCCACGTGTACCAGGCACAGACATGTCAGACATACCCAACCATCGCCGGGTGTGGCGGCTCACAACTGTGACCCCAGCAACTTGAGAGGCTGAGGCAGGAGGATCACAAATGCAAAGCCTGCCTGGGCAACTTAGGGACACACTGCCTCAAAATAAAAATTTAAAAAATAGGTCTGGGAGTATGGCTCATTGACCCTGGCTTCAACCCCCAGTACCCCCCAACACACACACACCAAAAAAAAAAAAAAAAACACCCAATCATCATTAAGTACCCGCACAGACAAGGAAACTGAGGCTAAGAGGTCGAGTCACATGCCACAGACTGGGGGGAGCAGGGGAGGCTCCTGCTTGGGCTGCGTTCTTTCCCAAGCTGCACAAGGCCTTCAAACCCCAAATACCAGGTCCCCTCCTCCCCAGTCCTCCTCCAAGCACCCTCCCAGATAACTGCTCAGTGATTTCTGCTCTTTGCCACACCTAGAACCTCTCTCGCCTCCCCTCCCAGGGTCCAGGGAGCTCCTGTCTGCCCTCCACACATGGACCCTGTGCTCCAGCAGAACCTCAACAGGGGCAGGGAGAGGCCATAGGAAGGGACCTCAGGACACCCACGACTCACATGTGGGCAGCTGTTAGCACACCTCCAGGCCAAAGACAGAACCCACGCCCTGCCCCCAGGCGGGCCTGGAGACACACAGCCAGGAAGCCCTTCTACCACAGCAGATGCTGGAGGTCTGGCCTTGGACCAACATCACACCAGCTCACACTGGGCCACGGTCCCCACAGAGACATCCTCTCCCTCCCCCGGGGGCTCTCCTCTCAGCCTAGATGCCCAGAACAGGAAAGGGTCACAGGTGCTCAGAGAATGAATGGATGCATGTCCTGCAGAAGATGAAGCCCCAGAAAACGCCTCCCTTCACCTTCCTATTTATCACGAGAGAAGGAAGGAAGGAAAGGACAGAAGGCTGATATGGGGCCCACACCCCCATGCAATGACCGACCCCGTTCCCACAGTAGTCCTCACCCTGGGGACTGAAGAACAGGAGGGAACCCCACTTACTTAGGCCAGCCCTCCCATCCATCTCTGCTAAGAGAAAAGCCTGGGTCCTGGCGGGGAAAGCAGAGGCATGGGATCAGCACAGGGGGACCCTCATGGCCACCTCGCCTTGGGCTCAGCCACACCAGCAGCCAAAGCCAGAGGTAGGGTCCCAAGAATTAACTGCCACCACTTGCCAGGGACTGGCCAGGGCCAACGAGGCCATAGGGACAACAGCAGCCCATGAAGCAGCTGAAGGACCCTTGGAGCCGTGGCCTGAAGGCAGGAGTGGAGGGGCCCAGCGAGGCCAGCCGTGCCAAGGGCCGGGGCAGCAGCTGTGCGGGTTTCCGGAAGCCCGGGCAGAGAAGCACCCATGATTCCTAGTCCCCCTCTTAAAATATAAAGACTCAATTATCTTTGAGCAGCTTGCTTTACACATGAATTGACACATTTATTTTACAATAAATAACTGAAAGTTATCTGTGTTTCCTTTACTGTTAATCTACACAGAGAAATAATAAACAGGGCTTGTCTTCAAAAACTGCAAAGACTGCAGTCCTCAGAATTCAATTAAGCTAAAATAATTAATGCTCCCACCATATTAAATTACTTTATACATTTGAGCCACTGAAGTTTTATTCTTTAATCTTTCCTTTTTTATTAAATGAAAAAAAAAGGAACGAAAAGAAAAGTTGGTACCAAAGTAGGGAGGGAAATGGGAAGAACGGGGACTAGAAAGGAGCCCGTGATAGGCTGTTAAATGGAATGGTCGTCCGCCGCTGACACAGCGTGTAGACTGTGGTGTGTCTTTGATTAAAATAACATTTTAAATGCTTTGAACAAACATATCTCTTTAGACTTCTGAGGGATTATTTTACATATTTCTTCTAAAATGAAGAAATCCATTCGTCCTGTTGCCGAACAGAAAGGCCAAGTATATCTTTCGTCACACATAAAATAAAAATACTGGAGCCTGCTACAGTATTACTACCCAAAAAAGGGGGAAAAGGAAAAAAAAAACCCAGGGTGTAAGACGGACCGAGGGTAAGGACAAAGCAGCCTTGGAGATCAGCCTTTCCTGGTATAAAATCATGTTGAGTCACTTTCTTAAACTCGCCATGGGGACCCAAAGACTCTCCTTGGAAACAACTTCAATGTGGCACGAGAATTCAGGTGTTTGGGGTAAAAGCTGTGGGTCTGTGCATTGAGGAATAAATGGGGACCTCACCAGAGGCCACCCCTGAAAAATCTGTGTTCAGTGACAGCGGGTGTTCATCCACTGCTGGAAACTGTCCCTTGAGTAGCAGGCACACAGTCCCAGGACCCAGCATCCCTCTCTCCTGATGGCTGGGTCCCAACCATGCAGCATCACCCCTTGCTTCTGGGAAGGAGGATATGATCTCAAGCTGGGCACTCACCAAAAGGTACCCACTGCCCAGCATGGGCCGCAGGAACCTCAAACGACCTCATGGACACCACTGTGCAGGTGGGCAGAGGGAGGCCCCAAGTCACAAAGCTGCCACGTGCTGGAGATGGGCTTGGTGAATTACCCTCCTGGGTCACAGGAGGTCCCTGCCACACCCACCTCTATCACCTCCAGTCCCTCCAGTGCCCTGTTCAGCCTCCAGGACCTCACTGTGGGGTCCAGCCACACAGTTTCCCAGCAGGCCACCTACTGGCATGCTGCAGAGCCAGAGGGGACCCCTGGGAGAAAAGCTGCACTGGATAGGACTTGGGGACTCCCCGTGCATTAAACCCTCATCCCAGGCCTGCGGGGACATCGTGCCTTGTTGACAAATGGGGAAACTTAGGCTCATGAGGTGACCAGCCCCAAGTCAACCAGCAGGATTCCAACTGTTCTCTGCCTGAGCTCTGATTCCTGTCGCACTCCAGGAGAGGCTGCAGTCTCAGGGAACACAGCCAGGCCAGGGGCCCCTGTCTCCCTCAGACCTCCCGGGTTCAGAAGTATGAACAGTCTGGTTTGCATGCAGAGCAGTGGCTCCCAGGGGGGACCAGCATGCCATGGTGTGGCCAGGAGGTAGGACTCACTGCAAAGGAACCTTGCTGGGGGATGCAGGCAAAGCCCCACACCTGTTCTGAAGGTGGTCAGACACGCTGTGCAGGTTAGCCAGGCGGCATGTCCAACCTCCTGAAGGGACACAGTGCTCCCTTCCCCCAGACCTACCCTTGGGGTCAGGCAACGTGAGAAGCAGCCTCAGAGATGGGGGAGACAAGTGCCCCCACTCAGGGAGGCCTACCAGTCATGGCCACGCTCACCGTCTCCTCAGTCCTCACAAGAGTCCTCGGAGACTAGGGTCCCCTAGCCCACTTCACGGCAGGGCAGACTGATGGATCCCAGTTGTAAAGAACAGACTCCAACCCCAGACTGTCCGGCTCCAAAGCCAGGGACTGAGCCAAGATCACCAGCAGAGAGTGCACCACGCAGACTTCCAGATCTCCACTCTGTGTTCCTGGCCACCTCTGGATTAGGCCCCACCATTGAGTCCCCAAGCCGAAAGCAAAGCGCCCTACCAGGCCAAAGGGCATCCCTGAGCCTCAGGCCTATCTCCTCCAGAGGGTCACCCAGATGGTGGGCCCTCGGAAAGGGGGAGCCCCAGAGGCCATCCTGGAAGCCCCCAGACCTCCCGCAGCACCAGCACTCTCAGACCAAGGGCGTGGGACCCGGGAGGCGGCCTCAGCAGCGGCCAGGTGAACGCCACGTTCCATAC